AAACCCTAAACCCTAAACTTGGGGTCTGGCGTTGTGGTTTTCATTCAGGAGCTCGGGCTTCGACTGCAGCACCCCAGGACCAAAGTGTATATCCAAAAGGACGCGCTTTTTGGGATTTAGTTTTAGTTTTTGTTGGCAATTTTTTGTTTGAAATGCAGAGACTTGCAGTCAAGAAAGGCAGAAGCTGCTGTAAAAAACCTATGCACGGAGTGCAGAACTAGCCTAACCGCTAACACCACGCGCCATCCCGTGATCCCCTAAACCCTAAACCCTACACCCTGAGATCTCGAATCCCGATGGTTGCCCCTAGACAATGAAGCGCCGCGAGCCAGATGCTACGACTTCATCCATCGCAGAGACGTGCCGAGACCCGAGAGAGAATCAGGATACGCCTTGCTAAGAACTCAATGCATGGGAGGTTACAGCGCATGCCGCAGTGACTTGAGAGAATCCAATGCTTCATCGAAAGGGATCTTTGTCTGTGGTTGCCCTTCAAAGCCTCTATAGTTGGCACTTTCGTACTGGTGATGGAGTACCAAACCCTCAGCACCATTCCCATCCTTGTTCCAGTGTCATGCCCACTTGGAATCTCACTTGGTATGGCGACTTCAATGGCACTCTAATCATGGCTTTGAGACGACTGTGATGACGCTTGGCGCTTAGCATACGACCGTGATGACAGCCCGCGCAGACTTTGCAGCTGCTCCACTGTACTTGACAGGCCGTGCCCGCATCGCCATCCAGTCTTCCGGAGCATCTTTGTTGGCTGTGGCGAGCACGACATCTGTACTTGGCCTGTGCCCTGGCAGCATCGACTTCCTACAAAAGCCCTACCACATCATGTTGCAATATCCCTTTCGGAACCCAAATCCTTAAAATTTCAAACCCTATAGAACCCTCGCAGGTTGGAAACAAGTGTTCTAGCTGGAGCTGCAGCTTCGAGACCTCGATTTGGTCGCAGCGAGTTCGTGTGATGCTTCCCAAGGTGACAAACGTGACGACCCCAAACCCTAAACATTCCAGAACCCTGAATCTCTAACCTCACAATCTCCACACCTCGGGCTAAACCCTAAACCCTAAACCCCAAACCCCAAACCCTAAACAGGAAAGCCCGAAAGCCCCCAGCCTGAGAAGTCTGGGACCGCCCAGGATTTCAGCACCATGGAGCGGGAAAGCCTGGGCCTTAAAGGAATGGGGTTTATAGGGTTTAGGGTTTAGGGTGTCCAGGGTTTAGGGTTTAGGTTTGAGGGTTTAGCGTTTAGGGTTTCGGGTGTCCAGGGTTTAGGGTTTAGGGTGTCCAGGGTTTAGGGTTCAGGGTTTGCATGGCTTAAGGGTGAGGGGTTCAGGATTTGGGACGTACGGCTTGGGGTTGAGGTGCAGGTCCGAGTCCGACTGCTGCTGCTCACCGTCCTCTCATGCTGCTCCTTCTGTGTCGCACTTGCATCAGGAAGCAGCAAAGGCATCGAAAGCCGTTCGTGGTCTCCATCCAAAAGACTATCACCCGTGCCGTCACTCACTGAACCTCCGCCCTGCCAAGATCGACCCCAAATCCCAAATGCCGGAGCTTCAGCCCTGGCATTTTGACGCAGGGGCACAGGCCGTGAATCCTGAATCCTACACCTCCACAGCCTGCCCCGGAAATCTGAATCCCAAACCCTACTCCCCGAACCACAGCCGCGTAAACCCTGAACCTTGCTGAACCTGAGCTTGGTGCGTGCCACACGGCCAGCGGCCTCCTGATCCGTTGAGGCCTTCTCGATGCTTCTAGGCTTTTCAGCATTGGCTGCGATGTTTCGATCGTATAGAGCCGCAAACCCCGTAGCGGTGAGGTTTAGGGCGCGGGAGCCCTAAACCCTAAACCCTAAACCCTAAACCCTAAACCCTAAACCCTATAGGGCGCGGGACTTAGGAGCTCAATTTTTGTGTATGGCGTCAGGGAGTTTGCTTGCTCATGTCAGAGCTCGCGTGCCGAGTGAACCTGGCACCGAGGGGTGCCGGCAAAAGCTGGGGGGAACTTCAGGTGATATCAAGGCCTGAATGAATACCAATCCCAGCCTCCAGGTTCCTGATTACTAGAAATAGAGTATCATCCCCTAAACCCTACATCCTAAAATCATTAGGATAAATATGGTGTCATATACCACAAAACTACAAAACCCCCATTCTGATTATTACTTACGACCCCTACAGTGGAGCTCGTTGGTGAGCTGCGTAGGGTTTCTGGGTCAGGCTCGGGCTTTGGGCTTCGACGAATTTGTCATCCCGTGGGCCTTTGGCTAACTGCCAGTTCGTGACCTTAAAGGATCGGACTCCAAACCGCAAACCCTAAACCCTAAACCCTCAACCCTCAACCCTAAACCCTAAACCCTCAACCCTAAACCCTAAACCCTAAACCCTGAACCCCCAGACTCCTAAGAGGTTGAGTTTAGGATTTTGGGTTGAGAGTGAAGTGTCTAGGGTTTTGGGGGGTAGACTGCAAGCCTGCAACTCGGCATCAAGACTCCTCAAGCCTGTGCTGGAAGTAATGTCGGGCAACTACTTGTTTTCTTTGTCTTATCACGACATTCGCAAGGCGAATGTATTTGTACAACTATGATAGGGTTTTACTATCATTGCAATGACGGTGTCATTGCACTACTGAACATGCGGAGCATGGCGTTATGCTCCTACAGATGTTGACCCTGTGTATCACAAGGATCATGATTAACATTGCGGAGATGTTAACAAGGATGCCGATGCTGATCATCCGTGTGTCACTGCTATTGCCGCTTTTTTTCTGCTGCTGCTGCTGTTGTTGATGATAATGATAAGAAGAACGCCTAATTTGGGGACTCTATGCTACGATAGGGTACTTTACAGGAGCCTCCTTGAGGGATCCTATGCTGCGATATTGTACTTTACAGGAACCTCCTTGAGGGATCCTATGCTACTATAGGATACTTTCTAGGAGCCTCTTTCAAGGATCCTATGCTAGTATAGGGTACTTTCAAGGATCCTATGCCAGTATTTTCTAGACGCCTCCTTAAAGGGATCCACTTTTTGGGATGTTCTTCTCATCGTCCTATCTTCTCGCGGCCAGGCCCTGGATGGCCGAGCTCAGCCACGACATGGAAGAGCGGGCCGGGACTCCCATGGCCTCGGAGCTACTTGGGTTTAGGGGTCTAGGGGTTTGGGGGTTAAGGGCTTAGGGTTTAGGGGTTTAGGATTGAGGGGTTTAGGGGTTTACGGGTTTAGGGTTTTTGAGTCCTTTGTGCCAGCAAATGATACGCCCTTTTGGAGCCCCGGCCTCCAGCCGAAAGGGCTTCGACTGAGTTTTTGGACTTCCAGCGGGAGAAAAAGGGGTGTCAAAAAACCCTCAACCCTAGCAGGCTTTGGTTCTGTAAGCTTCAACATGGAACTGCGCCCTATGATGCTCAACCCTGACCGCCCCCCCCAACTTGAACCGTGCACCCTAATCGCTACAAAGATACACCCTGCCCTATACCGTAGACTCTAAATCTTAAGTCCCTATACTCTAGACTCTGAACCTTAAGCTCTGCACCATAATGCCTTCCCGTGAGTCTCTGGGCTTTGCCGAGGTTTGCAGCCAGTGCGGCCAGGACGGAGTGCTGACCTCGTAGTGGTCACACAACAATCGCGAGTCTCGTCGTCCACATCTTTATCAAGTCGTCGTCATCATCGTCGTCATCATCGTCATCATCATGATTATGCCCATGTTTGCAAGAAAGCATGTGTAACAGACTTGCTTAGCAGACATATGGGCACGTGCACCTTCTACCATGGCAGAGAAAGGCAGAGTTCAGCCGCTCCTGCCGCTGTCGCTTCATGGTTTTGTGTTCCAGGACGATACTGGGACGTGCGCCCTGAACCACCCAAAGATCTTAAACCCTTAACCCTGTTTGCAACCTAGAATTATTGCAGTACCTCGTTCTAGTACACTTCTAGGCCTAAGGGGTGGACCAATCGGAAAAGGTCCTCCGAGCACTGTTCGCCCACGTGGGCTTTCGTGAAGGGACCGGTCCAGCTTCTTGGCCGCCTTTGGCGTGGTCTATGGTCGCATAAGGGCACTATGATAGTTGTGGGGGTCGATAAAGGTTTAGGCTTTCGGGTTTTGTATAGTTTGGGTCTATGTTTTTGGCCTTGGGGGTGTAGGGCTACGGTTGAGGTCGTTGTTGAGGACAGCCCCTAACCCCAAATCCCTTAACCCTAAATCGTTTCGGGAGGCTTTTCTTTTAACCCTAAACCCTAAACCCTTTACCCTAAATCCTAGACCCTAGACCCTAAACCCTAAATCCTAAATCCTAAATCCTAAATCCTAAACCCTGAACCCTGAACCCTGAACCCTGAACCCTAAACGGCGCTCCAGATCTCCGAGAGGCAAGCCGGCTTGCTGGTCTGTCGTCATCTATCAAGTCGGTTTAGGGTTAGGAATTGGGGTTTAGGGTTTAGGGTTTAGGGTTCAGGGTTTAGGGTTTAGGGTTTAGGAATTGGGGTTTAGGGTTCAGGGTTTAGGGTTTAGGGTTTAGGGGGTGCGGAGTGTACGAACTGCAGAACCTACTGTGTGCATCCCTAGACTCTAGGGTGGCCTACAGTATGACTAGTGGGTCAAAGGGACTACCCATCATGAGCTCTTTGGATTCACCATAGCATGCTTTCGCTGGGAACCCTGAACCCTGCTTCGTTTTCGAACTGGCGAACTGGAACCTGCCCATCTCAAGAGCACCGAAGTGCGGCAGCGTGCCGTTGGCCTTACAGTGGTGAGTGAATCATATTTGGAAGGTCCAGAAAATACGGAATCCTAACTTACGTAGGCCGTAAGTAGTAGCTTCCTTCATGTAAGAACCTCCAACAACAGAACCCCTAGGTTTCAGAACCCCCTTTTGTGTTAAGACATGCGTGCTAAGAGCCCTAGGCCCAGATCGAGCTTGAATCTGAATCCGTGAAGCCCTATCTCCTAAATCCCTCAACCCTAAACCCCTAGGCCGAGGAGGGAGGATCACCTCCGTTCTATGTGCTCCCGGCAGGGTTGGGACTTAGTAGCTCCGGTTTAGGCTTCCTTTTGAAGGGTATTACTGGGTTCTCTAAGGGTTTAGGGTTAAGGGGTTCATGGCTTTAGGGTCTACTTGCAGGTTCTTTCAAAACGTAGGCTTGCAGGTTTTTTCCGTTTCAGTTAGGCTTTGAATTTTTGTATCAGTTAACCGACGAGCAGCTATGTTCAGGTGTAGTTCCTCCAGTCTGAGGCAGCTGTCGACAAAGAACGTATCTCGTGTTTGCTATATTGGTAATGCTGTATTGCTCACTGTCCTTGTCATACTTGCCATGGTCATGATCTCATCAACAGCATCACCATCGCAATATCAACACCGCATGGTGTCAGCATCAACATCAGCACCAGCCCGGCCCCACTAGCCGCTAGCCCCAACGGCCAGCACCCCTAAGAAGCCCTACGCTCCAAATCCCCAACCCTGAAATGTGATCAACCAATAAGAACCCCCAAACCAAACGGGATCCTAGAGCCCAAAGCACCCTGAAGCATAAACCGAACATGAACTAAACCGCAACCCTAAACCATAAACCCCAAACCCTAAACCTTAAACCCTAAACCCTGAACCTTAAACCTTGAACCCTAAACCCTACAGAAAGGGCTACGGTGGGGCCTGCGTTTGTGCAAGGGCATGTTTGGCAAGGGTTGCATGAGGTTTCACGGCATGTCATTGGGTCACTCGTTCATTATATCTGAGGATCATGGAAACGTTGCTGTTGTTTAGTTTGGCAAGGCTTGCATGAGGTTTCATGGCATGTCATTGGGTCACTCGTTTATTATATCTAAGGCTCGTTGAAACATTGCTGTTGTTTATAAACTGTGCTGGTGTTTAGAAACAGAGCTGTTGTTTATAAACAATAGTACTAGGATTGCTTCAGGGGAGGGGGCAGGTCTCCATACGTAACACCAAGACTCCCTACCCCCCCTCCTCTCCTCCGACCGCTGCAGGTACGCAATCCGACATCGACAAGTTCGTATGCCTCCTTTGTGTCTAATGTTATGTTATAGCATGACTGTACTTGTTGTAGTCATAGTATTCTTATTGTTCTAGACTATAGCATCTCGACCGCAATTAGCAAATTTTATATTTCGTACGCCTACTGCTCTAGATCTGAATCTGTGCCACCGCACAAGATGTCATGACACGTGCTGGGCCGTTGTTCTGCTCAAAGTCTGCAGGAGTGGTAGAGTTCGAGACTGCTGCCGTAGCAGGCTTTCTGGAGATCGGAGATGGCACGTGCCGCCTCCAGCTCGCTAACGTAAGCTTAGCCAAGACGACAAGCACCAGTTCTAGGACGAGGCAGACAACGATGACTGTAACCCTTCCGAGCACACAGAATCTCTTGGACCAGGTCGCGACTGGAGCCATCGCACGAAACGAAGATGAGCCTCAGCCTGCAGACGTGAAGAAGGCTCGCGCATTGTTTGTCTCCAACAAGGTTGCCTTCAGTTCGGATTTCTTGGAGTACCATGCCAGAATGGAGTTTCGGGCATGCGTATCATCACGGGCGATGCAGGACGTGTATCGTCACACCTTTGGCCTTAAAACCAAAGAGAAAGACGTATGCTACAGCCATCGTCTACTACACAGCCTTGACTGACTTGCACCCCCTCGGTAAACACTTGGACATCGTTATAGGGAAGGAGTTGTCGTCGCAGGCTCTCAAGATCTACGAACACGACGTGCTCCATCATGTACTACCTCCTGACGGCCACGCGAAAGTACATATGACATGTGCGAACAGCCACCGGCACGCCGGCAATCCTGGCAAACGCGGCAAGGATGTCACGTCACAAAGCCGTTCGGGCATGGGTGGTTCATGGTGGTCAACCCTGCCGATCAGTGCCTGCTGTGGGCGAAACACATGTCCCAACCGGAGGGGAATGCAATTCTGGAGGCCGCACTCATGGACGTCATTCCCAAATTTCCCAACCTCCACGGCATCATCGTCGACCGAGCCTGTTCATTCCTTCCCCCTGCTCGCCAGGTCAAGGTTATGAACCAGGTGGAATACTGGGCAGTAGACGCTTTTCATGCTCAGTGCCACACGAAGACATGCAAATGTAACCCGCTGTATCAGAAGCGTCTGAGCCTAAGGTTCAAACGCGCCAACAGCAGTGCAGCCGAACAGTTCTTCAGTTGGTTCCGAGGTTACGCTCGTGTCCTAGATGGTTGCACTCCGTCCAGACATGCCTTTAAGGTGTTGTTGTTTTGCAAACTTCATACTGAAGCTGTGGAGTCCAAGAGCACAGACGACTGGGCCTCTTTTGTGAAGAAGAAAAAAGTCCAGCAGACCGTACTCCTGTAGCAAGAAGCCGGCAAGCAAGGTCTTGGAAAGGCCCAGCCCTAGGCACTAGACCGGTAGATGTGCAGTGCGAGTATGAAAAGTATCGTATGCGTGTCTGCTTGTATGTGTGAGACAACTAGTACTTGGCGAACCCGGCAAGCGTCGCTTGCTTAGACTTTTTTGCTTGCCTCAAGCCAGCCCGCAGCCAAGGTACACTGGAACGCAATGGCAGCAACTTGGAAATCTATATACATATACACACACCCTAAGCCTTAATCCCTACACCTTGGACCCTAAACCCTCTAGGATGTGACTCGGCTGCAATTACAGTGTTCAAGAACGACCCCCTTAGGATTTGTATTGTAGCCATGCGGCCCGGCGGACCCACCGGAGAGCGGCGGGCGTTAACTCGAAGCCGAAGTCGGTCGTTGCATCTCGCAGAACCAGAGCATCCTGAGCATGCACATCCTCCAGACCTTCAGCTTCAGCGTGTTCCCGGACCGCCGATGTATCCACCTCCTGAGCATACGCGTAGCACTCTTTGGTGTGTTCCCAGAGAGCCTCCTCAGCATCCCAGTGGCGATCTTCAGCGTGTTCCCACAGAACCAGAGCATCCACCTCCAGGGCATCTCAGTGGCAATCTTCGGCGTGTTCCTGCGGAACCAAAGTATCCTCCTCTTCGTGTGCTAGGTCTACTCTCATGTGGGGGCGAATCGACCATCCCTTTGACAGGGACAGCGACGGTAGAAGTGAACCTCACCAAGTTTCGCGATCACCACGCCTGGAGCTTGACGAAGCATGTAGGATACCATGTAGACATCCACACCTTCTCGCTCCGAGATAGTGGGTTCTCTTGAGCATGAGCGAAGGCCCTCGCGTGGGCCGTCTTGGACCAAAAATGCAATTCTTGAATTTCTTGTTGGAGCAAAAGTTTCCCTTGCAACCGCGTGACTCTCCTTTTGAAAGAGTCAACTTGAAGTGTCATGCTTTGCTTGGTTGTTCGCGAACAGCTCAACTTCAGTGCACAGAGTCTGCAGTGTGCATGCTCAAGCGAGCAGAAAATTTTGTCGTCGAGGCCGCTACGCCCGTAGTTTCTTTCTAAAAGGTCCCAGGCTCCTAACTGGAGGTTCTCCTTAGGAGTCGTGCACGCCGGCCTCTTGTGGCTCGGCAGATGGGCCAGCGGGCGACAAGCTCCCGTGCTGGCCTTCAGTGATGTCCTCTGATAAAAGGGAACAAGGTGGGGGTGAGGAATTGTGTCCGGAAGATGAGCAGGTTGAGTGTGTGCATCCCGACTTGAAGGAAGGTGAACTGCCCTTCCCTTATTGGCCGCCGCGTAGTGCAAACTCACAATCTGCCAATGATGATTGCGATTTTTCCTTCCCTCCTTTGCCGCCGCAGAGTGATAGAGTGCATCTTGAGTCGGAGCAGGAATGCGGGCCGTCGCACCCTTCTCTTGAGCCAGCAGATAGCATTTCGTCAGGTAGTTTCAGCAAAGTGAGCTTGGGCCAAGCACTGGCCTCCGCACTTGGTGATGAGTTCCCTGGAGGGGGAACTTCTGAGTGTGGAGAGGATG